CTCTTAAAATTTAAAAGCTGGGATAGGGGCTATAACTCAGTGGTAGAGCACTTCTCTCATATATTCAAGGCCCTGGTTGAATCCCTACCACAGGAAAAAAGGGTTTTTTAACAACAACAAAAACATTTAAAAACTGGGCAAAAATATATGTTGGAGAAAAGATAGCCTTTTAAACAAATGAGAAAACTGGATATCAATGTATAGAAAAGAATAAAACCAGATATCTCTTTCACCCTGCACAGAAGTCAAACACAAATGGATCAAATACTTAGGAATTCAACGAGAAATTTCGCAATGGCTAGAAGAAGAAAACATAGTCAACATTCTGGTGCAGACACTGACTTCCTTAACAGGACCTCTAAATCTCAAGAAATAAACCAAGAATTAATAAGTGGTACAGAACCAAACTAAACAGATTCTGCACAGAAAAGGAAATCATTGAGTGAGAAGAGAAAGCCTACAGAAGGGCAAAAAATCTTTTCCAGTTAGTCCTCTGACTGGGGATTAATATCCAGAATATATGAAGCACTCAAAAAGCTTAACACTAAAACAAACAAATAAATAACATAATCAATAAATGGGCGAGAGAACGAAACAGACATTTTTTCAAAAGAAGAAACACCAATGGCCAAGAAATATATGAAAAAAATTTAATATCCTTAGTAATCAGGGAAAATCAAGTCAAAGTGAGATTTAATCTCACTCCAGTCAGAAAGGCCATTATCAAGAATACAAATAATAATAATGCTGACAATGATGGGGGAGCGAGGTACACTCATACATTGTTGGTGGAACTGCAAATTAGTACAATCATTCTAGAAATCAATTTGGAGATTCTTCATAAAAACTAGGAATAGAACCATCATATGACCCAGCTATCCCACTCCTTGACATTTATCCAAAAGGACTGAAATCAGCATACTCCAGTTATGCAGACTCATCAATATTTATAGCAGTGCAACTCACAATAGCCAAGTTATGGAATCAGTTCAGGCTCCTATCAACAGATGAATGGGTTAGGAAAATGTAGTATATACGCACCATGGAATTTTACTCAGCCATAAAGAAGAATGAATATATGGCATTTGCAGGTAAATGGATGGAATTGAGAACATCAGGCTAAGTAAATAAGCCAGATGCAGAAAATCAAGAGTCAAATGTTCTCTCTCTTATGTTGAATTTAAAGCAAAGGGAAAAAAGGGGGAGATCAAATGTCATAAAGAGAAAGGGAAGATCAGTAGATTAAAAAGAGATTGAGAGGGAGGAAAGAAGGATAGGAAAGGGAAGAAAATACTGAATGAATTTGACAAAATTACTCTATGTGTGAATACAGATATACCACAGTGAGTTCCACCTTTATGTATATCTACAAAGAACCAATTAAAAAGTAAATTTAAAAATGAATGAAAAGAAGACCAGTAGAATAGACGAAGGAGAATAAGGGGAGAGAGGAGGGAAGGGAATAGGTGGGCACCAGGGACTGAAATGGAATAAATTTGCATGTATGATTATGTCAAAATGAATCTAACCATTATGTATAACTATAAAGCACTAATAAAATCAATAGGATTGGGCAAAATATCTAAACAGACACTTCACCAAAGTAGGTAGATAGATATAGACAGACATAAACATATGACAAATTAGGATATGAAAAAGTGCTCAACATTATACTTAAAGAATTGCAAATTATAATATTAATGAACTACTACACACCTATTAGAATCTCCAAATCACTGACAATACCAATTACTAGCAATGATGCAAAGCAAAAGAAACTCACATTCATTGCTGGTAGGAATATAAAATTGTAAGGCCACTTTGGAAAACTTTAAAAACTAGACACAAAAGCTAGCAATGGTATTCCTATGTATTAATAAAATGTCTTGAAAATGTGTCCGTAAAAAACCTTCATGCAAATATTTTTAGCAAGTATATTTAATGATTTAAAAAATCTCAAAGGAAGATGGCGGCGAGGGGAGTGCATTGCCCCCGTGTGCTGCTTCACTGTGTAGGAGTATGACAAGTCAGGACGGCTAAAGGATATCTTGTTAGGAATTTCCAGCAAGTATATTTAAAATTTCCAATAAGTAAAAGAAAGTAAGATATCTGGCAATAGATGAATATATAAACAAACTGTGATATATCCACACAGTGCAACATTACTCAAACAGAGCTAGTAAGCCACACAAGGAATATATGGATCTTAAATGTATATTGCTAAATGAAATAAGTCAATCCAAAATGTTATCATATATATGGAATTATATGATTTTAATTGCATGACATTCTAGAAAATGCACAATAGAGACGTTTAAAAGATCAAACATTGCCAGGAATTTTGAGAGAGAAGAGGAAGTTTTGAATAAGTGAAACTATTTTGCATGATAGTTTAATTGTGTATATATGATACTATGTATTTACCAAAACCTATTGAATTTTATAGCACAAAGAGCAAATCTTCATTTATGCAAATATTTAAAAATCACTTAGGAGATCAGGGGAATCCCAGAACAGAATGAACAATGTTACATTTAAAAATGTATCAAACAACCTCATTGAAGGGAAAGAGGAAATGGTGCTGACCTCAGTACTTTAGATATGAGTGGAGTCTGTAAAACTAAAAGCTAAAGAAATTGTGCATAAGCTCTATATTCTAGTTGATAATTTTTTCAATGCAAATACAAGTTAACTGTCTTGGTATTGCTGCATATTAGAGTTGCACAATTGATTAAATGGATGAAGGACAGTGGGAGCCAGGTTTTCCATTGCAGGGGGCAGGGATTTACAACAAGCAAGGGGAAGAAAATAGAATGATCTATGTGGTAATGGATAGGGCTGAAGACAGCACAACTCATGTTTAGCTTATAGATGCAGATATTGCATATAAAAGTATTTGTATGTGTTCGAGGGTTTCTGATACCATTCTACAATATTAGGAACCCAGGATTCCTTGGAGAAATGACTGATTCTGGGACTGGGGTAAGAACTAAACACACACATGTGCATGCACACACATACACACACACACACAAACCACATACACACACAGAGTGAGAGGGTGTGTCTGAGGCACATAGGATACAACTCAGTAAATTTCCCAGTGTCCAAAGTTGGAACAAACCAAAACCACAAAAGAAAGTAATATTGGATTATAATTCAAAGTATAGGACAATTTTCCATGAATCCACACTTACTTAAATAAGTAATTGATCAAATAAATAAATAAGGAAGAAGAGATATATCTCCCATGCAGAAATTTCTAGATAAATTACACAGATACTTCATCCTTCAAAGAGGTTCTGCCACACTCCCTCAGGCATATGAACACTTTCTCCTGAAGACACAACGTGGAAAGGGGAAGAAACAAAGAATAACTCTACCATAGAGAAAACCAACAAATATTATCTCATCTAGGTGATCAAGGTCAACATCAACCATACTAAGTCAAATTGATACTATGGTATAAGGTGATGAAAAGGTCACTTCTCATCTATGGTTTTTCCTTTAAAAAATATACAACTCCATTCTGGTCACAGCCTAATCATGAAGAGAACATCAGTTAAATTCCAGGGTGCATATTACTTTTAAATTTAGAGCATATCTGACCAATTCTCAAAGATGTCAAAGTCATCAAAAGCAAGAGATGTCTGGGAAACTGTCATAGCCAGGAGGAGCTGAAGGAGACCAGGATGACTTAATGTAATGTTGGTATCCTTGACAGGATCCTCCAACAGGGGAAAGAGGGGGTCTACACAAAATGTAAGGAAATCTGGATAAATTCTGAACTTTGCTTCATATTAATGTATAAATGTGGATTTATTGATTACCAGAAATATATCATTTGAATAGGAGAAACTGGATGTTAGGGCATATGAAGCTTTTTGTACTATTCTCTGAGTTTTCTATTAATCTAAAACTGTTCTGAAAAGTAAAGTTTAAAAAGTGAAATTGAACCCCTTTCTCATATCATACAAAAAAAATCTTACTCAAAATTAATTACAGACTGACATCTGAGAAGTAAAAGTATGTTGCACTTAGGAAAAATGTAGAAGTAAACCTTTGTGACCTTAGTTTCTTAGTGGTATCTTAGAAATGACAATAAAAATCACAAGTGAAAAAAAATACACAAATTTAACTTCGTAACATTTTAAAAATATGTGTCCTTCCAAAGATACCATCAAGAAAGAAAAAAGAAAAACCAAATAATGAGATAAAATATTTTCAAATCTTTATGTGTGGTAAAGGACTCATGTACACAACTGAATGTTCTGGGTATGAATATGTAATTCAGTTGTAATAATAAACAGGTAAATAACTCCAATAATAAAACACAACAAACCCAATTTTAAAATGGATAAGGGATCTGATCTGACATTTCTCCAAGAAAACATGGAATGACTTGTGAGCACATGGAAAGATGCTCAACATCATTAGCCATCAGACAAACACATGTCAAAACCACAAGGAGATGCCGCTTCATACCCACTGGGATGGCTCTAATTTAAAATGGCAGATAATGTACATTTGGAGAAGGGGGAACCCTTGTTTGTTGCTGGTAGCAATGTAAAATGGTGTAGCTGCTTTAGAGATATAGAGCCAAACTCCTCCTCCATATCTCTATCTCCACTAGCCTAAAGTCCCACAGTAGCCTCTGACTATCCTCCTGCTCTGTGATCCTACAATGTGCTGTGGACCTCCCAAATCTAAAAGGCGTAAGTGGCAGTAGAAGTCAAAGTTCCTTTCAATTCTAACATTCCAGGATTCTTGAAACCACTGGTCTTCATTACAATGAAGAAACAAACTACTCAGATAAATTCTGAATTTAGCAAATGAATATTTCTCTTCTTAAATCATTATATTATTAGTAACTCCCCCAATGCCTGCCATGTTCAGGCATTGTTTTCAGAGTATCATTTGTGTTAACTTATTTATTCTTATAAGACCATCTTATTCCATTTTCACATAGAAAGCATAGAAAGGTTTTATAACTTACACACCTAGGTGACAGAACCAATCTGAAATGCAGGCAATCTGGCTCCAGAGGCTGCACTCTTGATCTTACTGATTCTCCAGGGCACACAGGTGGCACCAGCCTTCACTTCTGCCCCAGAACCACCAGCTTCAATTCCATTGCTATATACTTCATTGAAAGATTAAACTCTTGTTTCAACAGGAAGCGATAATTCAAAAAGCTGTTGTGAGAGAACACAGTCCCCATAAGAGCAAAGAGATGTTTGCTGATGACTTTATTTGGGACCAGAGCCTTAGTTTTATTTGACATTACAGAACATGGATTGGGAAATCACCCGACTTTTGGAAAGAATGCAGTTCTGCTCCCCAAACCTTATCTAATATCAGGTGGAAAGGTGAACACTGTCATTGCAACATCTCCTGTTTTCCTCCTGCCTAGAAGATTCCATTTGACTCATTTTCTGGGAAGCCTTCCCCCACCTCTGAACTGGAAGTCACCACAGCCCTGGCTTCCCCCATTCCTTACCCCGGCTCCGCATATATCAGTTGCAAGAAGCATACTGAGGTGCTTAAACAGGCTTTTAAAATGGGATCAAGAAGAACAAGTAAACAAGGGAACTTCCATCATAGGAAATATGTACTTTGAGTTCAACCAAAGTATGCAGAGCACCCAGTAAGATAAAGATAATTCTAGAGCTAACAAAGATGGTGATCAACCTTCAGAGCTGCTGGTAATCTCCCCATTATTCCGGTCAGATGGTTCTCTCTCATTCTGGTTATTTTTTCTTTCCTCTTCTTACCTTCCCTCTTCCCCCCTCAACTGCTCTTTCCACTTGTCCTTTATTTCCCATGTACCCAAAGAACTTCTTTCATCTTTATTTCCCCTAATCATCTAGGAAAATAGCCTCACAAAAGTGCATATAAAACTCTTGAATACCTATATAGATATAGCATGCATTCACATTCTGTTTTTTTAATCCGTGCATTCATTCATTGTTCATCAGAGGATTATTTGGTGCCTTTTGGGTCTTAAGCCTTAGCTGCGCAGATCCTACCTTCTCAGACATGATGCATATACCTTAGGGAAGATGGGATTGGTGCTTCCCAGTGACAATGGATTTGGCTGAAGAGGGCTGAGATAACAAGAATGGAAATATATGCTTAGAAGAAACCATGCCTAGATATTACAGCCTTAAGAAAACTAGTGGTTTGGGAAAACTAGAAAGAATCAAAAACCTTCCCGTTTGGTGCTTTTATTAGCCTTTCTGAAACTCTTGTCTTTGAGCTCTGGTAAAACCTCAATCACAGGCAGGGACCAAATAGTATCCAGCTGTCACCACCTCTTCTATATTCACTGAAGAATTCCTGAAAAGCTTGGGAAAGTTTCCCAATGTCAACCCATCTACCAAGGGCTCATAAAATAGGAAGAAAGTATTATTATAAAACATTTTTTGATTAGCACAAAGAAGTCCCAAACATCGTGTCAAAATCAAGACATGGTTTTAGATCAAATTTGCTATTCCATTCTGTTTATCATATATTCATTGACCAAGTTCAGGTACCCATCACGGTAACAGGTACATTCCTGGCCCTTTTGGCACCACCAGTAACGAATGTCAGGGAGGCTAGACAGGCAGCATTGTGAAGTAGGAATAGCCTTAGATTTGGAATCTTGAGACGAGTTATGGCTTCAAGTGTCACCATTTGTTAGCTTTGAGACCTGGTAAAACTCACTCTAGAACTATTGTAAGGATTCACTCTGAATATTATGTAAATTAATAAATAGTTTTTTAGAGAAAATTGAAAGCAGAGTAGAATTCCTTATCAACTGTAATATAATCCCAAAGGTAAGACAATGTTTCCCAAACAAATAGCCACTTATTTAGTGGACCATGAAATAAATTTAATGGGTGTTAAACAAATTTTTAATGAAATGATACAAATTAGGAAATAGTGCCAAATGTGGTGATGCATACCTGTAATTTCAGTGAGTGGAGAGGCTGAGCCAGGAAGATCACAAGTTTGAGGCCAGTCTGGGCAACCTGGTGAGATGCTAACTCAGAATAACATAAAAAAGGCTGGGGATATAGCTCATTGGTAAACTGCCTGCCTCGCATGCTCAAAGTCCTGGGTTCAATCTTTAAAAAAAAAAAAATAGAAAAAACATAAAATAAAAAGTGGAGTATATTATAAGCATTAAGGGTAAGTTATTTCAGGTAATTCTGTCTCTATTATATACACTCATGGATACTGTGTTGTGATGGGAAAAGGATTTTTTCATTATGACTAAAAAGTTTTACAACTACTGAGGAGATTCATAAAACTGTTTAAAATTCAGCCTTGATACATCTTTCATGATTCATTAGTTGGATTATTAACTCACTTATTCTAGTACCCTTAGTTTCTATGGTGCTCTGCCCCATGGGATGGTGCCCCTAGATATCTTCTTTCAAGTATCTAGCTTTGGAAGATGAATGACCAGGAAAAAAAAAAAAACTAGAGAACATTGAGAATATATGCCTCACCAGTTATCATTACTCTTCAGTAACAAGAAGTCACAGGATGGGAGATGGAGCTGGGATATCAGTTTTCTATTTCCAGAAGGCCCATTCAGAGCAATTCTCTGGGAGCTGACTCATGGCGAAACAAAGCAAGAGGAATCTAGAGCAGACTACAGAGGCTCTGCCAAGAGGGGGAAAGCACAGTCTGTCTGAAAGTGTCCTTGAGCCACAGAGACAGCAATTTCACAGGACCTTGGAAGGGAAGTGGCATATAAACAGGGTAGACATCTTGCCAATCTGGTGTCCATGGGGTCTCGTTTCCCTGATTTATTCCAACAACCAACACTCACAAGCACAGCCTGGCTCTCCCTCCCTTAGATCATCTCTCTGCCCTGACTGTGCCGGTCTCTCTATATGCAACTACACACCAGGAAAGAGCAAGAGAAAGGAAGCAGAACAAGGTCAAAATTCTATCTTCAAGATTTGCCATATTTATGTTCCTGATGTATTGGGCTTGGAGTGCACTTTGTCACCAGGGCATCCCTACAGAAACGTGATATCTGTTCTGATGAGTTATCGGTGACACATCCTACGTGCATGACTTGGTGTGGCTCTACTGTTAAGGCACTGTTAGGCCAGGTGACTCCCTAGGACAAAGCTGAAGTCTCTGGCTCTAGAGCAAAAGTCACAGGGCAGGTGTAGAAAGGCTAGCCTAGAAAGAGCCCTCTAAACAAGGAGAAACCTGCAGATTTCAGACCAGCAGCTCCTCTGCACCCTACCCCCGTCTCACACACAGGCAAAGTAATAATCCTCGCCTCACTCTGAAGATGACCTGATTCTAAGGCTGGAGCATGGAGAAATTTGAAGTTGTTTCCTGCATTCATTCTATAGTACAAATTCCCTGTCAAGACAATTTGTTCTGGGCCCGTGATTCAGCACACTGATTTTCAGGCTTACTCCAGAGATTTATTGGTGATAGCAGAGCATTTAGCTGCGCTGTTTATTAAAGCAAAGTGATGTTCTAATATCTGATGTTCTAATATCTGATATTCTAATATCATGGGCAAAAGAGCCAAAAATAGGGCCAGCCTGACAAATGTGACATCACTCAGGACTTGACCAGAATTGTCAGGTGGGGGTTGTTCCTGGCATTGGATGAGAGGGAGAGACCTTCCCATTGTCACACATACCTTGCACTGTTGATGTTTCTAGTCTTCCCCATGGTTCTGGGAGACTTCTGTCCTGAACACAGACAAGAGGCAGTGGTAGGAAGGCATTAAGCTCCAGAGATAGCAGATTCCAGGTAGTGTAGTGAGGGTTTCAGAGGTTTCCCACTGGTACAATGGAGAGCCCTTGTGGATGAGAGCACCAATACAGCCCCTGGTAAGTTATTTATTGCCAAAGTATTTTAAAACCTGCTGCAGGTCAGTTACTGTGCCAGGAAGCTTAGCGATACAGGGATGAGTAAGTATGCACCTGATCCTGTACTCATAAAAGAAAATCTCTCAATTAAGGAATTGTTAGGGTCCATGGATGGATTTCAGGGGTTTCACAACCTCTTGAAGTTCTGTGCAAAGTTCTCTGGGCATATGTAGATTTTTATAGTAAAGGGACTCCTGATCATATCAGACTATCAAAGGGCTATGTGGTCAAAAAATTTCAGTGATCAGTTTTTTCAGCTGTAATTTCCATATATTCTCATAGTAAGAAGAGCAGTCATATCACCCTGGATAAAATGGAGGGGAAAAAGTCCTTGGAGTGATGGAAGCTGTCTGCTCTCCAGCCAGTTGCCCCCAAATCTACCTAAACAAGTAGGCATTAGCAGATGCCAGTGATCACAGTGTCTCCACATCACTGGGAATATGTACCCTGTGGAAGATCAATTAGAAGTGCTTTGCCAAATCTAAGGGCCAACCCTGATTTTCTGAGAAACACAGTCAGATGTCACGGTATAACATCTGTCCAAGCATTCTGATCTCCACCCTACTGTAGCACCATACTCAAAAACAAGCAAACTTAAAACCACAATTTGTGATTAAAGCAGGCTATCAGTGTGAAAAGTGTGGATTACCCCCTGGTGGATTCTGTCACTATCAGAACTGCTCTTAAATTATATACAGAAGATGGGTGTGGTGGTATACACCTATAATCCCAGTGGCTGGGGATGCTGAGACAGGAGGATCACAAGTTAAAACCAGCCTCACCAAAAGCAGAGCACTAGGCAATTCAGAGACCCTGTCTCCAAATAAAAATACAAAATAGGGTTAGGGATATGGCTCGGTGCGTTAGTGCCCCTGAGTTCAATCCCTGGTACAAAACAAAAAAAAAATAGAGAGAGAGAGAGAAGATTGTATCAGCTATATCATATCCAACAGAAGGTCATGATATTGCTTTTTGAGTTTTCTTCTTACAGGTAGAGGCTCAACTTGACTAATTATATATTTGATAGTATATAATCTTATTTTTGAAAATGTAAATCTAAGCAAATATAAAATGTATTCATGAAAATTATTGGGCTGTTTCTCCTCTCTTTTGTGGTTGAGGAGGTGGGATTTTCTCTTAACCTCAGAATAATGCTTTTGCTAAGGAACTGAAACAAATAGTTGACCTGTAGGAATTGACCTCTAAATTATTAAACAATTTTAAAATAATTAATATAAATGCAAAATTTTTAATCATAAGACTTACTGTAACCTAATTCCACAACTTGTAGCTTTCCCAAGCCCCAAAAAAGGTAAATTTCATATTTAAGTTGGAATTTCTTCTTTCTCTTTGTATGATAACATCTTGCCTAAACAACAAAAGCCACATCAAGAAAGGGGCTTGTTTTGATCTAATTATTTGGATTAATAAGTGCCTAACAGATAATTTATATTAGCAAAATTAAAACTTCACTAAAACAGTTGATCTAAGAAAAAGTAAAAAAAAATGTGAGCTTTAGAAAATGTAAGCTGTTCTATATTCACTCTTCCTAATATTCTAAGTCAATAATCGTCACTACATAAGTAGGTCATTACTCTTGGAGTAATAAAGGACAGAGAAAGTTAACTGTTAACCATACCACATGTCTTCAGTTATGCAATGTTGATTGGGGAAAGTTGTGTAAGATTCATATAAAATAAACTGATCAGCTGCTAAGGTGGTAGAAAATAATATCAGCTTTATGATCAGTGAAAATATAACATGGCAATTTAAAATTTCCCATTTAGTTTATGATGCTGTATTTCAAAGGTACATTTAAATGATAATGGGAAAAATGATTAAAGTTGGCCCAGTGACATTTTTCAGATAGCTGAGAAAAAAGAAATATATTTTACCCTTCATAGCTTTAGGTTTCATTGTTATTAAATGATATGTTCTTTTGCTAAAGAAGCGAGCTGGTGGGGGGCGAGGGTGTCCATGTACCAGTTGAGTTCATATTTCCAATTCTAAACTATTTCATCTTTTTAAATATCAATGAATTTTTAAAGCAAAAATGCATCTTATTACTAAATAATAAAAAATAATTAAAAAGCATACTCAATGCTTTTTCACAGAGCAGAACAATGTTTTATAAAGCATAGCACTAGAAGGAATTTCACATGACCCAAAGGAGAAACATCCTCTGTTAAACTGACCAGAGAGTAGAAATTGCTGAAGTTTATATATTGCACTAAGAAATTATTTTTTGCCCTTCAATAGTCTCTAAATATTGTACTGTATTAGATTCTCTTGTATCATGTTATGGTAAGAACACTTAGCAATCTACCCTCTGAACAAATTTTTAAGTATATAATACATGATTATTGACTATAGGTACAATGCTGTACAGCAATTATCTAGCAGTAATTCACTTTGCTTGACCAAAGTTTTATACCTATTGATACTTCTCCTTCTCCCTTCCTCCTCCCCTCTGGAAACCACCATTCCATTCTGAGTCCATGAATTTGACTATTGTAGATGCCTCCTAATAAATGGAATTATGCAGTTTTTGTCTTTCTGTGACTGGCTTATTTTACTAAGCATAACCCCTCAAAGTTTATCCATGTTGTTGCAAATTGCATAATTTCCTTCTTTTTTTTAAGGTGGAATGGTATTCCCTTGTTTGAATATATCATATTTCCTTTTTTATCCTTTGGGAATATATTATTATTATTATTATTTGGGTGCTGGAGATTTGAACCCAAGGCCTTGTGCATGCAAGGCAAACACTCTACCAACTGGAGCTATATCCCCATCCCAGAAATATTCTATAATTATTAAGTACATGTGTACAATATATGTTAATCAAATCAGGGTAACAGCATTTCCATTTCTTCAATCATCAATCATTTATGGGTTGGTAATTTTGTATTCTTCTTTTCTAGTCAACTTGAAATATATTATGGCTTGTTTTGTACAATCATTACCCGACTTGCTAAAGAAGAGCCAAAAGTGAGACTTCCACTCCGTGTTTTGACGTTCCTTGTTGAATTACTGTCTCTCCTGTCTTCCCTTCTACCCTTGCCAGTTTCTAGCAAGCACTATTGCATTCTGTTCTTCTATAAGGCTGACTTATGGGTTCCCACAGATGAGTGAGAACATGGTGCTTTGTCTTTCTGTGTCTGGCTTGTTTCACCTAACATAGTAACTGCCAGTTCCATCCATGTTGTTGTAAATGGCAAGACCTAATTTGTTTTATGGCTGAACAGTATTGCACTAAGTAAATATACCACAGTTCTTTATCCATCATCCACTTAAGAATAGATATAGATACATAGATGTTTGTGTGTATACATATATGTATACATATATTTTTTTCTCTAATCACTATCTGTCAGTGAACATTTAGATTTTCTTACCTTGGCTATTGTAAGCAAAATTGAGATGAAAATAGGAGTACAGTTATCTCTTTGAGATCCTAATTATAATTCTTTTGGATAAATACCCAGAATTGGGATTGCTAGGTTGTATCATAACTTATTAAGTGTTTTAAAATTTATGGATGAAATAGAAAGAGAACAAGTGAACTGAAAGTGATTCTTCAATTATTAATTTTTGTTAATCTTTTAAAATGTGCACCAGATGAAAACAATGCTCTACTCTTAAGATACAGATGTCTTTTTCAAATACAACTGTCCACCCAGGAAGTGTTTCTAACATTACTATGATTTAATTCAAAGGATGGTTTATCCATAGGACAATGGAAACTGCCTTGGAGGACAAAAAGCTTATGTTTCACTTCTTACAGGCACCAGGGACTTGGGAAAGAACAAGTTATAAATGACCTATGAGAACTAATAAGTTATGAATCTCCATTAATCAAGATGTGATTAAATATTTGTCACCAAAGGTAATAAAGATAGCTCCTTCCCACACTCAAGATACAAAAGATGGGAAAAATCTGTTCAATAGATTCATTTATTCACTTATTGAACATGTCACTTTTGAAATATGTGTGGGGCATTGTGTCAGGCACAAATGTTTTATTGTGCCTGGAACTAAGATGACAAAAATGAAAATATGTAGCCTCCACTCAAAATGTTCAGAGTAATGGAAAGACGGATTGCCAAATGAACAATCACAATAAAATCAGATATTTCTGTAACCAAAATATAAACAAACCACATGAGTAACATGAGAAATATAAAATAAAATTTGCTGGGGACATCAGGGAAGTCTACATAGAAGGATTTAAGTTTGTTGGTCAATGGAAAGGGGGCATTCCAGGCATAAATATAGGCCTCATCAAGGACTCAGAATCATGAGACAGCTTGAAATATCCAGGGAACCACAAACTGATTTGTGTGACTTCCGCTGGAAGGCAGGGGGGCTACTGCAGTAATGCAGAAGAGACATGTTCAGAACAGAGGCAGCAAAGAAGGGCTAGAAGAACAGATGGAGGAGATGCTTAGCAGACTTTATAGGTTTCATGATCGACAGGGTGGATGAGTAGGTAAGGAGAAGACATGATGAGTGCTGGGTTCCTGGCTGGGCATGGGAGGACAGCACCACTGACTATAGTACGAGAGGTATACAGGAAGAGATTTATTTAGCTTCACCTTCTGTTTGATATGCCTTCAGGACATCCAATTAAATATGCTCAGTTGGCCAGAATATCTGTTAGATGAGGAGCCCAGAGAAGAAAATTGGGCTGAAGATATAAATGTGGAGCCATAAGCAAGCATAGTAGCAGAAGTTGAAATCACACGAGAGATGAGATAAGGAGTTGCTGGGACAGAGCTGGGTAGAAGAGTGACCTGGAAAGAACAAGGAAAGCAATCGTTGAAAAGTAGGCTACACACAACCTGTATGCAAGCTGGGAGAAGGACTAGCAGAACATAATGGCCTGAAAGCCACCAGGAGAACAGGGCTTCAAGACACAGGCAATGGATGGTCTGCTCTCATTTAACAGGATAATTACTTTTGTCCACTAGGTTTGATTCCTTAGGGAAACTAAGTCTTAAAGGAATGAGGGTTCATATCTATCTGAAAGTCTTTATAACCCTGGTTAAATAAACAACTGTTATTTTAGGTTATGGCAATACAATGAATACCCTAAACATATATGACTAGAAAGATCTACACAGCTTCTTGTCCAAGCTTTGTTTAAGTGTAAACGTTTATAAAATTAAAGCTATGTAGGTTTGATATCGGCGAGATAACCAATAAACGCTGTCCTTTATACATGGTACTGATATAAAATGGCCACATTGTCACTTTTTTAAAAAGCTGACTTACATCTCTTTATTTAACCACACAAATGTTTTATGCAAATAAAATGCAT